GCTGCGTTGTCACGCTCTGCATTGTCACGTGCTGCATTGTCACGTGCTGCATTGTCACGTGCTGCATTGTCACGTGCTGCGTTGTCACGTGCTGCGTTGTCACGCTCTGCATTGTCACGCGCTGCGATGTCACCGCTGCGTTGTCACGCTCTGCATTGTCACGCTCTGCATTGTCACACGCTGCGTTGTCACGCTCTGCGTTGTCACGCTCTGCGTTGTCACGCGCTGCGTTGTCAAGCGCTGCGTTGTCACGCTCTGCGTTGTCACGCTCTGCGTTGTCACGCGCCACGTTGTCACGCGCCATGTTGTCACGTGCTGCATTGTCACGCTCTGCGTTGTCACGTGCTGCGTTGTCACGCTCTGCATTGTCACTCGCTGCGTTGTCACGTGCTGCGTTGTCACGCTCTGCGTTGTCACGCTCTGCGTTGTCACGTGCTGCATTGTCACGCTCTGCGTTGTCACGCTCTGCGTTGTCACGCGCCACGTTGTCACGCGCCATGTTGTCACGCTCTGCGTTGTCACGCTCTGCGTTGTCACGTGCTGCATTGTCACGCTCTGCATTGTCACTCGCTGCGTTGTCACGTGCTGCGTTGTCACGCTCTGCGTTGTCACGTGCTGCGTTGTCACGCTCTGCGTTGTCACGCTCTGCGTTGTCACGTGCTGCATTGTCACGCTCTGCATTGTCACTCGCTGCGTTGTCACGTGCTGCATTGTCACTCGCTGCGTTGTCACGTGCTGCGTTGTCACGCTCTGCGTTGTCACTCGCTGCGTTGTCACGTGCTGCATTGTCACGCTCTGCATTGTCACTCGCTGCGTTGTCACGTGCTGCGTTGACACTCGCTGCATTGTCACGCGATGCATTGTCACATGCTGCGTTGTCACTCGCTGCATTGTCACGCGCTGCGTTGTCACACAAACGCGTGGTCAGCGTGGACATTTGTCACATTGACATCTGTAATCTGAACGATGCGTTTGTCTCCGTTATTTTTTTTAGAAACTACCGATTTTTGTGAGTACTACTCTTTCGCTGTCTGCATGATATGTTTCCTCATCTGATTGCCTCTAGCTCTAGCTGTTTACAGAGACTCCCCGGCTTACGAACATTCGACCTACGAACTTTCGATGATACAAACAATTTGCCCTGAAGTCCATTAGTGTATAATGTCAATATTGGTGAATAAAAAGACAATCGCCCCCCTGATTTGGACTTTCGCCAACTCCTGTGTTCACGTATATGTTTACAGTATGTACACTTCTAGGTTACTCGGATGTTCACACGTACATATACTACACTACTGTACAATACGTACATATGTTCGACTTACGAACAAATCGACTTACGAACGACCGCTCGGAAACGTACCTGTTCGTAAGTCGGGGAGTCTCTGTATTTACTAACTGGTTATTGTTGCTACTACTAACGTGAACATATGTGTGTTGCATACAGCTCAAGAGTATATAATGGGAGATTATGTACTCTTGATATTATGTTCACGCTACCAACTAGTTGAGGCATGAAAGCTGATGCTGAAATTAACCCATGTATATTGAAAAAGTAGTTTGAAGGTTTGAAACTACTAAATTGAGTATTTTGTTGCGAACGTTCACTGGATTAACTCACTAGTTGCTCTTACTATAATATGTTATATTATTGTGTATACTATATGGAATCAAAACACAGACTACGTTAGTGAATCAGCATTAGTGTTGCGTAGTGGTGGCTATCTGAACTAACGCCTTTACTCTTGTGCAGCCTTCAAGTGTACTTGCATGCTCATTTGATATACGTAGGTTCATCATGACAGTTACTGCAGTATTGTGGCTCTTGCATTGCTTTTACGTTATACTTGTCTGCATGGCAGCAGATGGAAATGCCTTGAGGAAATTTTGCCTGTTAAATACTAATATAAGAAATGCTAAACGCAATACACTAATCAATTACATATTAATAATTAACGGTATTAAAACTAGGGTTGGCTAAGTGAAGTACGGGAGTGCGTACGTGCGTGCAAATGTGTGTGTGTGCGTGCGTGCGTGTGTGTGTTGCGGGGGGGAGGGGTGCTTGCGTGAGCGCACGTGTGTGTTCCTGGGTGTATTCGGTTTATGTGTGAAGTATAGATAGTCAGACTATTAAATGTATTAAGTAATTGTATGGGAGAAAATTAATTGTGCATACACGACGATGTGACCTATCTCTGCAACGTATCTATTCTGATTCTACCACCTCCACCTATCATGCTCGTGTCATGCCATCATGTCGTTCCTATCATGCTTGTGTCATGCCATCATGTCGTTCCTATCATGCTTGTGTCATGCCATCATGTCGTTCCTATCATGCTTGTGTCAT